AACGGGGGACCCTGTGCCAGGCTACACTGGTAACCTAGACGAATGAAACGGTGACAGATGTCAGTGCGCCAGCCTGGTGGGAAACGCGTGTACCTTAGGGACCAGCACAGAGGTTTCACCAAGTTCACCTCTTACTAAATTTATGTCAATTCGCGTATCGTGAAATATAGCTTTTAAGGCTGAATTCATTACTGATAAGGAGTATGGAACTGTGACTACTTTAATATAACATAAAATCATCAATGTACATGCAACAGTTTTTGATACAAATTTCCTATAATATTCTTTTCAGTATATTTGACATTTTTAATGAATTTAAATGAGACTCTTTCCTTGAAACTTTAATATAGATCTGTAGCACACTCTTAGAATGATATTTATTTTAGTTCATATTTTGATTTAGAGATCACCTAGAGCGTCCAGATCTATTAAGTTTAGCATTGAAGGTATCTCTATTCATGCTACTGTAAAATTATAACATATTTTCAAAATAGTAGTCCATAATTGCAAAAAGGCAATTACAGATATTTTTTATTATTCAAATATATTATTAAATAACTCTTATGAATTGATGGATTTTTTGGTTTATATCAATTCCTAAATCCACTCATCTTATAATTCTACTTGTAAAAAATAATTATAGAATTCTTTAATTCACTTAACAATGTCAAAAATTACTTCTTAATTATTATAATAATTTTCGGATAAATTTTTTATAATCAAAGATTCATTATAATTTGAAAAATTTGATACTAACGTAAAACTGTTAGTATCTCATGAAGAAATGAATGGTATTGTATTATGGAACAGAAATCTACTCTTGTATCTGTAATTATATTATCTAACAGAAGTGTAAGTTTAAATGGAAATAAAAGAACATTACTAAAAGTGCAATTTTAGTCGGACATGCTATTTTCGCCTATTTTCTTTACATAACATTGACCAACAATAATATTCACGCAAGATATTTTGAGTATATAAGACAACAATTAAGATGATTGAACATAACATATCTGGACATGTTTACTCTAATTCGTATCAAGAAAAAGTTCTAAGATATATTTATGAGATTTTCTGTTATTGTCGTCAATCCTTCATCGAATAATTTATTTTGAGCTGAATAAGATCTTGATATTCACTGATTTTTTTCTTCTATCCAGCTTTTACATGGTCTGCAATCGAAGAGAATCAATTCAGTCGTGCCATCAGAGGTCCCTTCGTGTGCATCTACGTACAGAGAATACTAATCAGCTTCGCCACCATTGACATGACATGACTCGATCACCAATTTACGATAAGCTCAAAAAACAGGCTCAGTAACGCAATGTCATCATAGTACAATCGTTGTCTCTGTGACTCCATTGCCATCGAGGAAGTTTAGTTCCGAGACTCGCTGAGACGTATGCACTTCATGAAAATACTCCATGGAATGGCATCTTGCAACTGGCTGGAAAATCATGCAAGAGTAAGTGCAATCCATCCAGCTACTGACGATGTCTTCTGCAGGAGAGAGCAGGAGACTGCCAGTCGGAAACGATATGGAATGTCTGGCGCAGTCAGCTGACGACTGGCCTCGGCTCCCGACGAGTTTAGCGTGCATGAGGTCGAGAATTTGCCCACGCCCTTCCTCCCATCGGTCGCACGAAGTCTACTTCGATGAGGGTAACTCCACCACCAACGAACACCGTTTTGTGGAGTCAAGGGAAAAGCTTGACTGTCAGCTTTTTGGCAGATTCGATTTTCTCGATCGACGATCTGCATCCAAAAATGGAATCCAGATCAAATGGGAATTGAGGCTCGCAGGAACTGAAGAAAAGAAAAGAGCCTCGATTTTTCATCGTGCCCGAAGCTAATCCTCGGATGGACTCGGCATGATCGGTGGTAGTCCTGCTGTTGATGCAATGATGAAGAAGGTCCGATAATTCCTTCAATGAATTGTCTTCAGCTGCATCAATCACGACGGCTACGAGAAAGTGGAGGCGGTTTCCCGCCGCCTATTCACATCACGAGCATATTTGTGTCCACAAGGATGTAGATAGAGTTGCTTATGATCTTATCATCGAAGACTCGAAGTTCAAGTCTGCAGACGCATGAACGGATGGATAGTCTTGTCAGACTCACCATCGGCTGTGACTGCTCTCTTGGCTGTGGTCAAAGCTACCGTCAAAGCCTGATTACTGATTTTTCTTCCACTCTCTATTTTCTTCATGATTTCAAGTCAGCACCATCTCAGTCCTTCTTCGCACCAGCTTAAGATGCTTAGTCTACGGGAAGTCACGGTGCTGTACCTTGTTGTCGGTGTTTACAGCAGCAGATGTCGTGGAGATTAGATTACAGATATGGCTTTCAAGGGTCAAAGCTTAAAGAAAGCCTCGAGATTACCTGTCACTAATCCTGAACCAGATTCCTCAATTTCTCTATTTTGGAGAGATACTCTGACGATACCCTCCACACGTCGTTTCATGAAAACTCCATTAGTCCATGGGCATTCGGATTCCGTGCAGGACTGCCCTTTGGGAGCTGTAGCAACATAATGAAGACCTCGCTGTTTACAAAGAAAGACGTAGCCAGTCAAGAGCGAGGTTCGTCCTCAAATGCCGTCTCCGATTGGAGGATGCACATCTGAGGGCAAAAAGATAGGAATCTCCCTCGTTGCTTCTTGAGATTGTTGTTTCTGGAGATTGCTCATGAGTAATAATCTTTTCGACGACCGCATTGAGTTGTTGTACATTCAAGAATCTGTTCATAACGAAGATCCGAATGAACATCTGTCCCAAAACCAGGCATGGCACTGATGCATATCCTACAACCGCTTGGCCATCATGTGGATTGCGTTTTAATGACCAAATCGCTTTTGTTGAGAAACATATGATGGTACAGCAACGACTTTAGGTCAACTCTCTAGACGATGGTGGATGAATGTCCAATAACCCAACTCTCATCCTGTCGTGCTTTTTTTACTATACCATGTCCACAATGCTGTTGCACAATCAGTCAACATTAACTGACTGTATTCAAACGTCAGATTCGATTGTGTCGATTGCTAAGATCCAGGCTCCATCGAGCTCACACCTGTTTACAAAATCTTGGTTGTTACCATGTCAGGGATTCAAGATGTGAGACTCGCTTTGGTGCAACATGAGCACTTATGGATCTCAGCCTATTGACCGCAATATTCTGTGAATTGAAACCCGCCAATGGACTCGGTATAGTACGATCATCCGAGCAGCTTGGCCTTCGATGAACTACGATGAGCTCTTGTGAGTAGACTTGAAGAGGTTGATGCCGTTACTAGTGATATAGGAAGTAAGTACATGACAGAAGCTTTGATGATGATGTGTTGTCAAGGCTCTCTATCGATATTTGCCCTGAGACGAGTTGGTTCATTGGAGGATAGGCCATATCTCGTCACCACAACACCATTTCTGTGTTGTGGTGACGATATCAGAAACAACAAGCCTCTTCGGATATTTTGGCAGTCTACTGGCGGTAGGCCTGGGGCAGCAGATCATAACAGTGATAGCCATAGCAAGCCGATGCTGAAGTCCACACAATTTTCAGATCTTAGGTGGTAGGTGCTGTACGACATATCTGTGATCATAGTAACCAGGGCCCTAGCTGTTTGGTTTCATCTTTGTACGGCGTGATGGCGTTATTTCCCTCCTTTTTGCTACTTACTTGGTCCCCGTTGATTCCCGCAAGTCTCTAGACACTTCCGAACGAGTTTATTAAATTTGTTCCATAAAATACAGATTTTCAATGTGCTCTTTGCCTGCCACAAGGATTGAATTCCACTAGTGTCAAAGGTCTCCAAGACGAGGACATGGTAATCTTTTTCAATAAATAAATCCAACTACAAATCCATTGATTCACAAATTTTGCTTTACAGTTGACATAGTGCCGTTTGGTCCTCTGACCGGAAAACTCGGTGTAGCGCGGTTGAAACTGCTGCGTGACTTGAATCTGTATGCTGATGAAGGCATACTTCGGTGATTGGATGGTCATTTTCGTGCTATACAGAATCATTTTTTCTCTATTCTTTTTCTTTTCCTTTTACTGCCCAATGCGTGTATTGTGATCAATAGATAACATGAGAGAAAGTATATCAAAGGAGACTAGATGTTTACTTCTTTGATGTGGATGCTGCCCTAGTTAATATTAGTATTCATATCCACAATGTACCCGGTGATTCACTGGATTTTTTACGACAACACAGCTGTTTGCTGCTGTTTGCAAGGTCGAGTTACCATGAAAATCACACGTTTACCGTAGGGGAGTCTTGAAGTGAAGGTTTACTCAGATAATCCAGATTTGCTGCTAGTCTATGTATCTAGGTTTCAAAGCAGAAATAGCCCTCATCTGGTGTGTCTTCCTTCATGTCCTCCTTCTATGTTTTTCTATAGAAAATGTTCACTTTGTACAGAGGAGACGATGAAATTGCAAGTGAAACTTGAGAGTCGGACACATAATACAAAAATTGGCATGGATCATAATGAACGAATTTAGCGTTTTATTTTTCAGGATCAATTCTTCAAGGTCGTTGTTACAATCACTAACGGCAAAATATAAACCGTGTCTCAACCATGTGCAGAAGTTCCTTCATCCGTTCACCTATTTTCTTGGTTTATTTGGGATACTTCACAAAGCAATTGACTGAAGGAAGCTAGGTGTTGTCCGACATTATTACTTTCCAAGCGCTTCACACAATATTTCATGGTATGCACATAAACCTCCAGCAAAGCTGATTCCGTGGACATTCACCCTCACCCGACAGAAGTACTCTTTCCAAAACCTAAAGACTTCATGTATGATGCTACATGATCGATTTGGTTTCTATCAACCTGACACTCTATAGAACTTAATTTCTTTCATTTGTTCCAAATGTTTATACATTGATCCAAAACAGTTTGAGTTCAAGGATCAGAGCAATGAGAACTCAGTGAAATGTGCTCTAAACAGTTTTAACGACTATAGAGTGGTTCCATTAATCAAAATAGGACATAGAGACTCACAAATCGGACAGGTTCTTGACCCAGCTATTCAGCTTACAAATTTAATATCCAAAAAATGACAACCTCTTGAATTGTAGGTGACCTAAAAGGAAGAGAGTGAAGAGAGAAGTCACTTCTTGAAAGATCAGCGGCTGGTAGTTCACTAGGACATTTTGGACTTAATCTCTGATTGATGGACAGTTCATATGTAGGTGGAGTATACAGAAACATACACAAAGACATTATGTGGAACATTTGTACATGGATCTCCCACTTACCAAGTGTATGTTCAACATGTTCAGAACTATCACATGCGCCTCTAAAAGATTTAATCAACTACGTCGCATCTTGAAAAGCACTTTTCTATACAAATTGCACTTGCGAGCAACAACACACGCCTGAAATTTGCACATACGCACTTGATAGTACGAGCAGCCTACCGCATACCCAAAGTTCAAGAGATTAGGTACTAGTCAAGATCTGAAAGAACCTGTCAGTCGTCCGATAGCCACGAACTTTACTGGGAAAAAATGTTCTGAATGGAGTGGATTTTACTCAAATTGTAATCCCTTTGGCCTCAAGTCATGTGAGTATATATAGCCTCCACTCTCTCCACGGAAGCATAAAGATGTCCCAGATTCAAACCTACCATTGGATCGCCTGTGCCCAATGCTCTGTCACGTAGAGAGAAAGATGTGTTAGCTTGCGCGGAGTAACGGAGACATGCAAATAGCAGCGAATAGCTTGTATGCAAAGTTTGGTGACCCAAACCTCGTATGCCAAACTTACTGTGGACATACATTTAGAGAACAACATGGAGGCAGAATGAAACCTCGGTAGCATTCAATACTCATTTTCATCGACCAAAAGTCCAGCAGAACCAACAAAAAGCCAGACAGGATACTTGCAGGGGCTTACCCATGCAAATCTGGTAGAACATATTCCGCGTTCCAGCCAACTCGAAAGTCAATCCCAGGACAGAGGGGCAGTAGTGTTTTATGTCTTATTTGGGATGCCCCATCACCTCCCAAAGAAGTTGTAACCTTCCACTTCCAGCCAGTTGTATGATTTATCCAGTCATGACCAATACCAACCTGCTCAAAAACGCGGTTGTAGTTTATTTAGGTACAGTTTTAGCTATGCCAAACAAAATGCTCGAACTGTACAATAGTTCCTACAAAAACGATGCAGAAGCTTCTACGCTCTCAGGGATTTCACCTCGTGTCACAACACTCTTCGTTTTCAGCAGTCGAAGTAAAAGCAAGTGCTTGTCCATGTTTTTTGCAGATAAGACCGGATCTCACAGATTGTCTAAGCTACACAAATAGCAACAATCATAGGAAAAACGAAATCCATCGATATGACTTATACCTCGTCGCGTTCAGGCTAATATTCCATGTATAAACTGGCAACCTACATACTTTTCCATGAAATGATGCAAAGACTGATACCTGAATATTGAGAAGAGGACCAATGGGTATCTTCTTCGTTAGAAGTCGAAAATCACCATGCTTTGGCTCGCAGATAAACTTCCACTTTCTGTCAGCTTTGGCTGGTTTGAACACTATCTTCGTGTTGCAACCATTTACCTTGAAACCATCAAACTGAATCTTGGGACATTAGAGATACATACACCCTCAAACCATAAATTCCAAATCTGCCTTGCCCCTCGTTATTTTAAAGTGGAGTCACTTCAGTAAGTAGGTGCCCACCAGCACATTCCATAAAATTATCAAAATATGTACCTTTTCAGCTTTGTTCATTCTTCAGTGTCTGAAAAAACATCGGCTGCCTTCTAAAGACTCAAACGCTGAGAAACATGGGCAACTACCTCAAAGTTTGCTCCGAGTTGATAACCCTCAACTTGCTGCCTAAATTTGAGAAAAAACTCCTTCGGCATCCAGTCGATACTATAGAAGTCCTCCCAAGATGCAGGCCTCGGTCCGCCATTCGTTCCTCGGTCTACTACTACTGGTTCAGCCCCGGTCTGCAGCGGTAGCATCTGAAGGTCTCGGGGCTGGTTACGCAGAGAAGGAACCATCGTCGCGCCAGCACCCGGGTGACTACCGTGTTGAGTCTCGTGGAACTGCGAGGCATCGATCAGAGGTCACACTTTGAGGAGCAGAGAATGGTGCCAAAGACAGTAGCACTGTATTTGTGATTTGTGGTTGCATTGAATCAATGGGCTGTAATTTCAACTGATTCCATGGCGAAATGACCCACAGATACTGAACCGTATAGGCGTGAAGTTGGTGCTAGAGGGAGACGTACCTGAGGTACCAAAGGTTCCGAAACATTCCCAACGCTGGAGTGTCTGAGAGAAGAGTTTTGTTGTGCGTCAAGCACGGCTTGTACACGTTCCTTCAGCACATTCAAAAAGGTACTGTTTCCTCTTGACTCTTGTCTCTGGTAGGGTTGACTGCAACATACCAGCAAACAGTCGGGGTTTAGAGTACAATTCTGCAATGGCTAACAACCACGAGCCATGCCTTTCTTGAGTGTCAATGTGCCCTCCTCACACATGTCCCTCCCTGAGGCACCCGGCTCTGGCATTTGAGGGTCCAGGCAATGGTGCAAACTTACTCTGCTGAGATGGGTCCCTTCTAAGTTCCAAGTAACCGAATTCCACAGGCAGGAAGATCGAAAGTTTGGAGGAAACAATTATTAGCGACATTCAGGAAAGTGGTTTTCAGTTCACGTGCATATGGAGGCTTTTAATTACAGAATTTCAATCGGGTAAGAGAAAGCAAGAGATTCTGCCATTCTTAGAGCGGTCGCATCGAACTACCTGGTCGACGCGGATGGATAGGAATCAAAACGTGGACTGGTATTGTATCCTTGTCGCCCACCATACGCATCCGTTCGGGACCAATCTGGCTCATTCAACACCTCTGCAGGAACTGAGGAAAAGGGCTGCGATGATGGAGACACCACGTACGAATCGGACGGCCTCCTGCCGGCCATGGCTCCTAACCAACGGAGGAAGACGAGTAAATTCTAAAGAGGATTTCCTTTTTTTGGTCGAGGAATTGCAAGTCTCAATTCTTCATTCTTCAAATATGGACTTAGAGTTGATTGTCCAACGAGTACTAGCTATAACCCAACGCAAAGCTTCTGCACCGACAGCTCGCTGTTGTGGATCTTCGATGCCTTCCCATACGAAGCGTGGAAGACGGGTGAGCCCAGAATTCGGATTCGATTAATCTGCAACTAACCCAATTCTACCGTCTGAAACCCTAACGAGGAAGGAACTAACCAGACCAGACTCGCCTGGAGACTCAATTGCTCAATTGATCACCGTGAGAAATCAAACAACTCGAATCCCGCGTACCCCTTCCAGATGCCAGAATCTCTCGAATTCTTAACCTGCTCCTCAAGACGAACAAATCCACATTCCCGAGCGCAGCGGCAGAGCACGGCACTCGGGAAATCGGAGTCCGTCCACAAAGGCCCTGCTCCTGCTCTCCTGCGCTCCTGCCCGCGCTGCTCGGATCCGTCCCACCTCAGGGGTCTACCAGAGCAACCGTGGCAGGGGATCGGAGGAATCTGACATTGCCTGCCTCCTCTTCTCCCGCTTCCATCCAACAAACGCTACGCACTCACTCCACCCCTCGACTCCACGACAAACTCCAGGACTCTTCCGCCACGCCACAATCCGCTCCGCACGCAAACAATCGACGACGCCAACATTCCCAACCACAGGACCGCAAGAGCAGGACGGAGGCCCCCTCTGCCTCTGGCGCCAATTTTCCAGCACTGCTCTCGCTAATCACACTTGACTGCCTAGTGTTAAATGCCTCCCTTCCGCCCTACGCATCTCCACGGCGCCAAATCCGGCCCTAACCCCGGCCTTAACCCGAGCTTAAGCTCGATTAGACGACGAGCGCTTAACTCTTCTGACGGACGGGGCGTTCTTGTGTCCTGTCGGCATGCTCTAGAGAGAAAGGCCGCGTGATCGGCCCCCATAACAGTGCGGCCTTGCGGCTCCGGGGCTCGAGCGATCGATTTGACGAGTTTACGAATTAGGATGATGAGAATTCTGGAATGGGGAAAAGAGTCAGCTCGAGATCCGACGTCGTTATGAATTTAACCTTTTCTGAGCACGACTTCGAGCTCGAGCTCGTGCAATGAATTTGGAAACATAAAGAATGTGATGAAACATTGATCCGTCGACTGCCGAAGAAAGGGCTTTCATGAGCTGAACGCCACCACGTGATGTATTCACACTGATCACGATGGCGATGACGATGGTGATGGTGACGACGAGGAATTCCGATCCACTAAACCCTACGACGATGATGTACTGCACTTCCATCGAAGAACGTGAGCCCTGCTACCTCCGAGTAACGTGATTCGGTCGGACCTTGTTGCGCGAGGGAGCGCAATCGGAGCGATTCGTAGAAACTTGGCTCTGAACCTTAACAGACATGATGCAAGTGAGGGACGGACGACTACGAAGCCAATCATCGGAAATCTTTCCACATTTTTTATGTTTTCGCAAACGACGCATCATGTTATTTATTTAAGGAACCCCTGGTTTTCTTTCTCTTTAGGCTAATTATCCCTCGCCTGATGCTCCCATTTCCCTCTCCTCGCGAAGATTGTATCCCCGTCCGGTACTGTCCCTGTAATTTCCCTCTGACCAGTCACAGAGATATTGTAGGGTGAGTGATAATTAGTCTAAAGTGAATGATAACTAGCCATTATTTTATTTGAACATATTAAGACTAAGACTGATGGCTGAAACTGGATAATGCATGGCATTGTCTTTTATCTTAGGCCTCTTTGTATTTTTTAATTAATTTCACGTGAGTATTAAAAGAGTCGCTTGCAGTCTCGACGGAGCTTTTTCGAGTGCAGGCGGGGTTGGGGAGATGTGTCGATATGGAGGTCGATGTATATAAACGATAGTGGGCCCTGGGTTCCTGCCCACTGAGTGACTTAAGCTGGCAACGTGGTGCTTTGCACCTCTTTTCAAACCACGTTTATGTAGTTATAAAGTTATAAGTGTATTTAGATGTTTCACAAGAGTGGAGATTTCACGATTTTATTTACGCCGTCGGGACATTCTGATTCAGTCGGGCAATGGGGCTAGAGTATCCCCAGCATTGCTTGCTTTCATATGTGTGCTCGGAATAAGACTCCAATCTGCGCACACCTGTGCAATGAATGCTGGGCTATCGAGCGACGAGGAATATCTTGGTACGATCTATTCACATTCGAATAAGGATGAAAGTTGGTTTCATTGAACTCTGGCGGTCATGTCCAAACTCTCATAGGTCCCCCTATCGTGAGGATCTTCTCTGCCTGTCTTTCATGCTTGACTTCGCTATCTTCCCGTTGGGCTGGGCTGGGCTTCTTCTGCATTAGACAATTGTGGTGATCGGAATTATCATCTTGACTATAAAAGTCAAGTATAATAGATTTGTGGTGGATGTCCTTATCAATGCATGGCTTGAAGCCAGTGAGTGATGAGGACTCAGGGGCCGAGTGTTGGGTGTCGAAGATCCATCGAATAATTTCTGTGGATCTTTGATTATCATTCATATATATATATATATATATATATATATATAGGAATACGCGTCCAATGTGAAGAGTATCCGTGACTTCAGAGGCTCTTTGTGGTGGGTCCACATGGTCTTCCACATTTGGTATTTTGTATCACTCGAAGATTAATGCAGTCACGGGTAGAGTACGAAACAGTTCGCATTTATAAGAAGCACTTACAGTACTCCACAAAGGCTACAAACATGTTTGAGTCAGCGGTAAGTTGTGCATGGTCACAAAGTTGGCAGAAGGAGGAACGGCTTGAGGACGATTCATATATTCTACCGCATATATTATATGCATTGACAGAGATCAGGGCCCGAATCACATTCTCTCAGTTGCTCAGTGAAAAACATCGAGCAGTTTCGTCGCGTGAAAACACGAAGATGTGATTCGAACAAACCGGAACTCGAAGGTGGTTGAATGCGTTTCCCCATCACTAGCAGCACTCACAGCATCTACATCTGCATCTGCATCCGGATTATGAGGGGGCGATACAACAAGCTGTCACGACTGAAATATATGTATACATACATGGCTCTCGCTAATACTTGGAAAGAAAAGATGTAAAATGCATTTAGTGTACACGTTAGTCGACACGGAATTTTCAGGGGACTGGAGCTTCTTCATTTTCTGCTGTCAGTGACTCATGCCCGCAGTGTTCATGCACTCGATGCTCTAACAATCTTCTGACGGAAAAGAGACATGAACGCTCATTTCAGGTTCACTTCTGTTCTCCTACAGCTCCGATGGCCGAAACCGAGAAGGAACAGCTCGTGCAACCGCACTCGACGTGTGAACAAAGTGGATCCTACCGACAGACAGCTCTGATGCTCTGATTCATGGACATCAAACCTGCAGATGGGCTATCTCAGCAATCCCGAGAGATGTTATTGGCGAGCACACGGTGCTGGAGCTCCTGTATTCTTGTTCTCTGCAAAACACAGGCAGAAGCAGCCGATGGGACGAGGAGCTGAACGTGCGGCCACTGGTCTCGGTGAGGGCTCATTGAAGTGGACAGATGAAGGTTTAAGTCTTCTTGAAAAGATGAATGCAATGAATGACAATTGCAGACTTAAAATCGGAAATTCCCGTGTGAGCCTGATAGCCAGTAGAATGTGCTACTGCACATTCTACTTGCAGCTTGGAATCTGTTGGATTAGTTTCTTTTCGTTTCGTTTCGGTGTCCCTGAAGCGTGTGCATGATGTTCTCCTTTCTCGTTCCGTCTCGAATCATGTCGCTGAATGCTGTTGGCTCCGGGTGGAACTGGTTTTGGCCGTGAGGAGTCAAATGAATTCTGACCATCATCACCACGGACATATCTTATATCACATATCTGAATCGCATGATGGACTCTTCATAATGAGCACGCAGTCGATGAATGAGAAACATCATCACACTTTTGACCATAAATGCTGAATTCTATATCTCCCCATGCACTGAAGTTGTTCAATCTCAGTAAGTGGGGATTCGCACCGCCACGACTGAAAGCTGATCGCTGTGGATTAGATTCCGATCTGCAGACACCACATGAACGGACCCACCTGGAACGAACTTTGTTCGTTCCATTAGCATTGACCTTGATTGATATGTGATGACGGTGTTTCGCTCCGGTATAAATCAAACCAAAGTTCAGTACTTAGACCTTTAAATTGCGTTTGGACCCGGGCAGAGCAGATGCAGGTGCAGATGTCGATGACACGGAAGGTATGCTTGCCTGCGTGCAAACGGTTTAGAGGGACGAGATAGAGCATGTAGTCTGAAGGGTGTAAGCAGTCCTCGGGCACTATCCCACTAGAAGGGAAGGGAAGAAATTTAATGAAAATCTGATCGATTCTATCATGATGAGCATTTAGAAATTACCAGCTCCACAACAAACAGCCAGAAATTGAGCCGCAAGATCCAAAAGCAGAGGAGTCCGCGGGCAAAGCTTGAACTACAGAACCTAGGGAGGAATTTGGAGGTCCTTCGAGCCATTATTAGAAGCAGAGTTGCCTGGCTCCTGCTGTGTTCCTCTACCAGGCTGGTAACATCCAGGAGTGATCCCTGGGGTTAGGTTGCTGCCCGGCAGAGAATGTAAGAGCACAAATCTCCAGGCCTTAATATAATGAAAAACTGAAATGAAAGACTCGTGTAACGAGGCAGTTGCAGCAGACTCATGGAAAGGAGTGGGCGACGAACAAAATGAGTAGAACGGACGATGTGATCTCCTTGCGAAGTCCTTGGAAGAACAGGAGTGGTTTCTGCCATTTTCTGAGCGTGGATCGACTCTTGGCTGAAGATCTATGGCAGATCTAAAGGTTCAATTAAGAAATCCTCGCTCCGCCAGTCAGCGAGTTCTACCTTTAAGACTGAAGAGCTACAAGGCAAATCTGTTTCTTAGCATCTTCAGCTGAAACTTATTGCGTAATTTTGGTTGGGTCTAAATATCCAGTTCCTGACTACAGTCTGCAGATATCCGCTGTCGCTGCTGTGTATACATAGAGCTGGAAGCTGCCGACCGTTCTGACAAAACAACTCATCAATTTGATATATACCCAACATTACAGCAGGCAGGATGAATGGACATGAAGAATTGTTCGAGAGCATGGCAGACCTTGGGATAATCTTTTAGTTGTTCCATGAAAGCTGTTGCAGCTTTTACGGCTGGCCAATGTAATCTAGAGCGCGTTTGAGTTCTCTCAGAAGAATTGTTCGAGAGCATGCCAGACCTTGGGATATTCTTTTAGTTGTTCCATAAAAGCTGTTGCAGCTTTTACGGGTGGCCAATGTGATCTAGAGCGCGTTTAAGTTCTTCTCAGTAGCTTATGCTTTTGCTACGATCACAGCATGCAGAAACATCCGCTTCCATGTCGAGTGGGGGATAGTTTCATGAACCATGTGCCGAGCCCTCTACTGCAATTTAAGGTCGCTGTACATCACATACATATGGAGCGACTCGAGACAACATCCGTCTTTCTGGCTCCTCCCAGCTGCAGAATAAATCGTGGTTTCTCGTCCACAATTTCAGACCTCGTCTTCGTGATGATGATGGTCCAGTCTGTCTCCTTGAAACTAAGTCCTCGGACGAATCATTTACCAAGCTTCAGTAAGAAGTGCGAAAGTGGGATCCGACAGGTTCGTTATCACATGGTGGGGTGGGGTGGGGTGGGGGGGGCCGGTAGCTCGAGAAGAGAAGAGCACCACCGGTGATGGAACAACATCCAACCAAGTCTAATCACCTACCCCGGCTTTCGACTGCAAGAATTGAAGGCTTCGATGATTTGAGGATGACGAGATGAATGTGGACTGCAATCTGCTCCATGGTCTCCCAACCACCGATTTGTGAGTTCCTGAAACGTTCGACCGAAGGCACCAAGTCTCAAGATGTGTTAGTCCACAATTCTCAAGGTCAATCACAAATTATGAAGTCCATGTGACGGAGATTACTCATGACTGAAAAAGTCAGAGAGCATATAAATTTCGTTGACATGACGATACCATCGAGGAGCTGGCATCGCGCACTCGAGTTCACACGGGCGGATCAAGAGCTCGCTCGCTTCCCTTGGTGGAGTGAATTTTCCATTTTCTCACGACTCGGATTTGTGAGTCTCTCGCACTTGGTTGCGAAACGTCCAGCAAACCGAGAGATATGCCGGAGGCCTTTTAAGCTTTTGTCAGTGAAAGGGCAGGGAGGGCATCGAGAGGTCAGCTCATGGAATCAAAAGTTTCGAAAGGGGCCGTCGGCAGCTGGGGATTTTAATGCTGTGCAATAATGGAAGCTTCGAAACGGTGCCCATCCGCTTCAGCCTCGAAGTCCGAATGATTTCCACTTCATGCACATCCTGTCCGACAGCAGCCTTTGGCGGTACGAGCTATCATGCGGCCCGCACTTATTTGGCTTGCGGGAGTGAGAAACCTCACACGACCACAACCTGCAACCTTTTGCCTCCATAGCCTCGAAAGAAGCCTGATGATCTGCTCGGATGAAATTAGATTCTTCACGACCGCTTTAAATTAAAGACTCGCTCGGCTCCTGTCAGACGAAAGAAAGCCACGCCACCATGAGTGACACTGGATGCACAAGGCAACACCCTCGAGCTCTTTCAAGGCCATGCATGCATCGGGCGACAACCGGATCCGACAGCATTTCCGCCTCAGCACTCGAGCAGTCCTCCTCTCGAGCCCCGTCCATGTGCATGTGCATGCATGGCCAAACAAAGCGTGCGATTCGATGCTGCAGCCAACTGAGAACACTCACGAGCACGATAACGATCGGATCTGCGTGCCTCTCGAGCATCTTCTCTCACTTTTGCTGCGAATTTCTTCCGTGGAGGATGAGGATGACGCTTATCGTTTCAGCAGATTGCCATCTCCAGAACTTGTGAGTTTCCTTTCCACTTTCGCGTGCTGCAGATGATTCCTACGACTGTATTACGAAGTTGAGCTGTCACGTTTGTCAACGGACTTGATTTCAGTTCTTCAAACGTGTTATTAAAACTGGCGAATAAATTAGAGCACACACTTATTCTCCTGATGATGATATATTTTTTTATATATAATTTTGGCTGTTTGGAGTGTACGTTCTGTGTGAAGTCTATTCTATTTGAAAAGAAGGTGCTTAATTAAATCTCTATATTAAAAATTTTGCCTTCATATCTTACTATGAATGAAAACATTTATAAGATTTATCTACAACTTTGTATCTACAATGTAGCAGAGCCCAACATTGGGTGCTCATACCCAAAACCATCCATGCCCATGGGCTTTGGGTGACATTATTTTTCCATAGGTGGATTCAAGTAATGCTAAGTGCAGTGTTTGTCAAGATCCAACCAAGAATTGGTGTAATTTGTATAACATGGGTGGGCTTAGATCGCTGCTGATGATTATGGTCTGGTTGCAGGTTTGAAGGAAATTGTTGGTCTCTGCAATGTAGTCTTTTTAAACCAAACGTAGATTGGTAATAAGTGTAGCCTATTGCAAACTTTACCAAAATTTCCTCTTAATGAACTTTCCGTTCTCACAGTTATCACAAATTTCATTTCATGATAATTTCTTGGTTGAATACTACAAGATTTCAAAAGATCATGACAGAAGAAGTATTCAGCGTGAGTCGGAGTGATTCAAGCATTTTCAAACCAACAATGTTAATAAGTATTGGCAATCTTATGCTACTAAAATGAATGTGTATTGTATTGCAGTTTATTTCCACCTAGATAGATTAATTTATTCTATGTGTAATTTGTTAGGGAAAAAATAAAATGAAATATGCACATCATAAATGTAGACATACATGATTCAGTGATGTCATCGAAGACGTCATGCTACTTCTATCAATAGCTCTTCATTTATGTTAGTGCAGTACAGAGAAAAAATCTTGCAAAGCATGTGGTTGGATCAATGAACAATATTCCAAAAAGAAATCTATTTGGAAATTTTGAAAAAAGTTCATCTAAATGATGCGAAACAAACAACTTGCAAGTACTTGATGAATTTTTTTTTTAAGTATAAACATTGTATCAATGTCAAACATCACAGAAAATATCTGTTGAAGACAATATTTTACAAATTTTTTATTTTGATATCATGAACATGACAAAGGTCATCAAATGTGATAAATATAAATAATTTAATTATAGAAAAAACATTTAACCAGCTTGACTATAGTAGAGAATATCAAACATTGTACTCGATTATCTAGCATAAAAATTCATCTATGTGTATTCATAATCAATAATTGCAAATTTTATGTAGAATGAGAAAATTTTGGATTCAATTTGATACAACTAGAATGCAAAATCTGTATATTGATGTCAAGATACATCCAAGGAAAGATAGAATATTTGTGTTGATAAAAGATATCATATTGTTGAAAGTTGATTCCTTGAATGTTGACATCACTCATCTTGATGACCTTCTTGTTGATCTTGTATACACTAATAGAATTGCAGAAGTTCTTAACAACACTAATTAAGGTGTGAAGTATAGAATTCTGCTTGTTCAATGTATGTGGATTTTCTGAAAAGATTCACGCTTTTGCCGCGTAGAATCTGTTGAGAATGCGTGTCGGTGTAGTATGTTCAAACATACTAACACCACTAATTCCATTTCCATTACTAACATTCTACTCATGTGATTTTCAATCACTTCTTCTATGGAAGCAAGGAGTTAATCTGAAGAGCAAATTGGGAGTTCCTTAGCAGTTGAAGACTTAAAATCAGTCAAGGACAACTGCATGTAATAAAAACGAATCCATGTCATAAGAAGGCGGTATTTGAGTATCTGCACCTGGGACACTAACTAATCTGGGTGGTGCTTACATTGCAAAACTGCGAGTATCGGAGATTAATTACCTAAGAACCTGGACTTAGCTGGCATAAATCCACACTCTTAACTTTAATAAATGTTATGTCACTAGCATTCTTCTGCAAGTGTAAGATGGACGGCGCATTACTCAGAGATATGGGGGAATCCACCAGATTGCAGTCGCCACGACCACGTAATCTACACGTAGGCTACAGAGAATTTGGAATATTTTGATGCAGTGAACTGCTTAAATTTGTTTCTTTTCTCTTGGCAAGAGGTGCCTAGAGTCACCACCACTTTGATACGGTTGCAGAGATACTCTGTCCCGCCCCTTACAGCGTAGATTCCATTTGAAAATCTCTACCACTAGGCTACCCTGTACTCGTGGTAATCATGAAACTTGCAAAACCCCATATTCACATTCACAACTGCAAGATAAAATATGAAACAGGGCCCAAGTATAGAGATAACAAAGAAAGGTAGAACCCATCAAGCGGGCACCCAGTGGCTAGCCCCAATAGTAGAACAATGGTACTATGTCCAGAAATACACGAGATGACATGGGGCTGAATATGTATATTTTTTTCTTCTTATTTCCAAATAATTCGATTTGTAAATTTACAAATCGAATTCTTCCAGATTTGGTTCTGAAGCTACGCTGGTTGGATATTGCAAAACATTCTCGACAGTAACTTTCATCAACTTCTTCGATTTTTTCTCGTGAAAAGCAAGACACTCTCCTGAGTCTCTCAAATCAGAAGAAAAGTTTCATACGGACTGTTATAGAGTAAGCATTGTAAGATCTCCAGCACACAATGTATTGATTAATTTGCGCAGTGGCAGCTGAGAGATATAACAGGGAGTCTTCAACTTTCAAGTATTAGGAGACCACCTCCAACTAGTTCCTAAGTCACTATCAAGAAGACGCGAGTATTTTATACTTGATGTCTACGCGGTTTCTTGACCACAACGTACATTTGCAGGAGGTCCATTGACTGGGAGGGGAGTATATTGATACGGATGACCGGCTCCTTCAGTTAATGCGAGGCGAAGAAAATTCCATTCGAGGTTTATTCATTGAATATAGAACAAAGGGAATCTCTTCAGTATTCCATCCTCGAACTGTCAGGTTTGTTACTGGGCGAGGTTCGAGTTACCGTGTTCAGATGTGGTAGAATCTCAAGATTAAGCTAAATCATGATTGATTAAATCATCATAACTATAAGTGGTAAGTATGTGCATTAACTGGCAACCTTCCACTACAGTATGGATCAGATTCGGACCAGACGAACTTATCACATCACTCACAGCAGAGATGGATGGTTTCAAATATCAATTTATAAATAAGTTTTAAAATTTTAAAATAAAGCATGCCTTCTACTGATTCGTACGTGGTTCGGGGCCAGGTTTTCCAATTTTTCATCCGTTGCTTCAAAATGTGCCCTTATTAATGGAGGTGTTTAGAGAAAAAAAGAAACGAATATATGTATATTCTCCTCGGAAGCGGGCAATATAATTGAAAATAAATTACAAAAAAATGAAATACTAAGTATTGTGGGTGAGGAACGTCAGGAAACAACATACTTCCACATTCGACTCGATCTAAATGAACCTTGGAGATTCGAAATCAAAGTCTCTGAATCAGAGATAAAAATGGCCAGACAAGTAGGCATAGTAATAGTTGTCTGGCTACTTCGTGTGAAGATCACATGGTGTCTTGGAGTCTAGCAGTAGTCTCCAACGGTTGAAAGGGTGAATTCTCGAGATGATCAAAGATGAGAAAGCGTATTAAACCAGGCCAATCCTGATTGGCTGCTCTGCAGGATTCTGAGCTGCCCGTGTGGAGTCCCTCAGTTGTCGGCTATACTTTCTACCAGCTTCTGAGCGTACGAATACTGTACGGGTACAGAACCTTCTCGCGCGGGCAAAATACAAACATCGAAGCAGAGACGCGGGAGGGGAGGAGGCAAGCTGAGCAGCACGGTCTACGAGAGAGCTTTCGATATATGTACAGACATGTGGGCCATGGTGACGGGGTCCTTGGTCACAGAGTTCGCATTCAGAGAACCCAGGGGCCTCCAGGAGCTGTGTGTCCTGCCTGCATCGAGAGTCATGCAGCGAGAGAAAGACATAGCCCGTTGGAGGATTGCTCTCGACGAGAGAAATCGTCAGACTCTCGCGCACTCGGTGAAGTCGAATCTGAAGCATGCGGGAGCAGGAGCAGGAGCAGGAGGAGGAGCACTCCAGTGAACCTTTCGCGCGTGGGCTGTAGAACCCGAGAGCCGAAGTGATCATTCCACTGTCAGTAGTCCCGCCGCTTCTATCTATAGTCGGCACCCTTCCAGTTCTGTTGTCAAGTCTCAAATGTACCGACTTCTCCAAGAATTGGACATGATTTCTACATTAAGTGCCCATGAAGCCAACAGGGTCTCCTCGTCAATCAAGCATATCATAACTGGTGGCTACTTTTCTTGCAATATCATAAGCATCATTGCTTTCTCACCTGTCTGGAGATAGCCCTGAATTGCCACCTCTCATCTGTTCCCAAACTGCACGGAGTATATTATTGAGATATAATACTCCGTGCACTCTGGGGACACTCCACTCCACTTTGGGATAACTATAAACAACGAACACCACCTCGGGAGCCCCCAAAGCCAACCAACCAGCAGCAGCATGGTATGGTACAGTACTATACAATGTAACTGTAGTGGTATCTGAGTGACCCAGCCAGCCCCCCGCGATCATATGCAGGAGGACAACTGGAGACACAGAGGGAACTGTCGGCTCGATGCAACTGGACCCTTGTCATAGCATCGTACCTTTGAAGGAGTCACGGTCAGGTGACTGTGAGCAGGGAATCGCATCCAAACAATGTGAATATTCCTTCGATTGAAATTTATGTTTATGTTTATGAGCGGGTATGACATTCAACATGCAAACGGCAGAAGAACGAGAGTCAAGCAGCTGATTCAAAAGTTAGAGACAAGATTTGCGAATGACAAGTCTACGGTGTCTATGTTGAAGCCAAGTAGAGGAGTTCACATTCTCCTCGATGGCACGTCATCTTTGATGTCAAGAGTCGCCGAAAACGTGATGTTTATCAGAATTTTCATGAAATTTTCATGAATTTTCAATATTTTTTTTTAAAAAGTAGAGTGGAAATTCCCAAATCTATTGGTGTGGCGATCGCTATCCCACATGCCAAAGATGCACACCAACACATGTCAAAGATGCACACCAACATATGCCCAACATGTTGATAAGTGATGGTAACACATACAGCAATAGTTTTAGATGAAGAATGAACCCCTCCAAACCTGGAGATGTGCGTTATACTCTTGGCTGAGAAATTGGTTGTATCATGATGCACAACGCATGAAATAAAAAATGAACATCATTCTCGGATTAGAAAATTATTCAGCTTAATTGACACGGGTCCAATCGAAAAATGTACAAGTGAATTTTCTTTCTGGAGGAAATCTCACGTGGAAAATATTCTATGATATTTTAATAAAAAAAGCCATCAACTGAATCAAATGGGTTTCCATTGTGTTCATGAGACGTGAATAGATGTCGCAACGGTACAGCTGTATGTAAAACAAAGAAAATGGACAATGATAGAAGACGCATGTGCAACTGCCTGAAATGGAGAGATAGTTGTAAAATGAACCCGAAGAGTAACATCGACCTTTTGTAACTTGCCAAATTACTGTAGTGAAATGAGAAAGCGTAGAATGAATATTTTTTAAGAAAAGGCAAGGGGACAACAATCAATACGGTGACTCTTAAAGTCAGTTCATAGCGTTAAGGAATATACGACGTAGGCGGGTGGCTACTATTTCTTTTGACTAATACGCGAGTCTCGTTTACACCTGTAGCTGTAGAAGAACATTTGAAGAGGTACGCTGTATAAGAGAAGGATCATGACGATTTGACCAAAGAAGGACAAGGCTGTCACTGTCTGGATATCCTGGTTCGTAGGAACGCGCATTAAATGGCACATTGCCAGACAGTCCATTGTGTTGTCAGCTGTTTTGTTGGTTACCTGTGCTGCTGACGTCCTATCCTACTGTATCAGGAGAGCTCATCGACTTGGTATGTGCATAGACTATTCCAACGAGCCTCGAGTTGGCACCATGGGAAAAGTACATGTCCGATGATTAGTGTATACAAAAACATATACCAGCAACTTTTCTGCCTACAGTACAATTGCAGATAATATATTTGAATGCTTCAGATAGCCTTTCTCAGTCCTTGATCTAGCATGTGATATATAGTAAATAGAAATGAGTGATGTAGTAGATTTCCCTCTCAGTTCGAAACTTTTAGACGATTTGCTCTTAGTACTGGGAAAGTCACCTAGTCATCATGTTTATGCAGATTCCATAGCAGACCTTTTTTTCATTATTCACCTCAATCAAAAAGCTCGTGAGACAACTTGACAATGTTCAATTGTAGCATCACTATCATCAACCATAGTGACAAGAAATCTTGTGAAGCATCATTGTTTGCGGGACGGAGACCAAACACGATGGTGAAATGTTTCAACCTCACTCATGGTGAAAGGACCTGCTCTCCCCTCCCCACCCTCTCTAAGCTTTATGTCCGGCCTTTCAGGGTCTGTTTGACTTACAACACCAGACTGTACTCTTACAACCGACTCTTATGGCCATAGCCTAAGAAACAAAGATATGACACACAGAGTTCACGCCCCGGTCAGTGATGGCTGCTAAAATCTCTACGGCCACTTTCCAGCTAACTAGAAGACTCGCAAGCCTTTAGATTGCGAGACTCCTGTGATTAGCATCCCCCCTCCCTATCATGAAGGCACAGAAGCTACGAATACATCTAGTAGCATGCAGTCATCTTGCAGGGTAGGCAGTTTGTCCTCTCTCTACTCGCCTCATTCTTCTTCTTGGAAGCTTATAAGTTTTGGAAATTAGAGCTGGCCCCCAGACAGCGGGGCTCGACTCACAGTCCTACAGTTGCGCCAGATCTCGCTGCTGCTGCTGCTGCTGCTGCTGCGGAGCGGAGCCATCAGCGCGCTTATCATGAGAAGATCTCGAGAGAGAGAGCGAGAAGAGCTTTTCCCGGTGGGATTGGCATTATGAACTCGTTCCCCTCTCTCGACGTGCTCGAGCGACGATTATGGCAGCAGTAAGTAGCAGATTCTGATCAGAAGGCCACTCAGCGAGCAAGCGTCGTCTGCGAATCTCCAAATTCTGTTTCGGTTACCGAGTGCGTCCGTCCGAGAGGTATCCGTTAATGGAGCATTGATTCTGGACTCTAAGGAGCTGGAGTCCAAGTCGGGCGGTCGGGCCGGCTGTGCAGCTGCGTGGGCACACGACAGCTTCACACGGCCCTGTCGATTCGGAACGATTCGACGAATGCTGCTTGGATTTGGAGAAATGCGCGGTCGGAACAATTTCGTTGGGCTCTGACTGAAGCGGAGGAGAGAGAGAGAGAGAGCGAGCTAGGTCGAGAGGCGGTGAAATCCCCTGTCCGCTGTAGTTTGCGTTCTCTTCGCGAATCGTGCAGCTTCTGACGCTCACGCTTGTCAGAAGTTGAGCGCCCGCTGTAGCTCTCGAGAGCGGAGAGGAGCAGGAGCAGGAGCAAGAGGAGGAGGAGGGATTTCATCGTCGCATCCCGTTCTCCGCTCTCTGCTCGAGTGGCAGAAGATGCGTCGCTCGTGCATCATCGCTAACGCGAGGACATCACCTTGAGCTTTCTCGAGTCGGCAGGGGTCAGGCCGACGAGGAGAAAGCCAGGAAGCAGAGTGCGGACGAGATGAGGTTTTCTCTGTGTCGAGACGAAGGGTCCTATTTCGCGTGCCAACCGGCGATGGGCGTGGGCGTGGGCGTGGGCGGGGGCGGGGGCGGAGGATTGCTGCTGGAAAATTGCGGGCCCTCGTCTTCATCATCGTCGTCGGAGCTGAGCATCCCCGAGAAAGCGGTGAAGCTGCGAGTGTTCAGCCTGGCGGAGCTGGAGGCGGCCACAGGGCGCTTCGCGAAGAGGAGCTTTCTGGGGAAAGGCAGCCACGGCTGCCTGTACAAGGGAATCCTCAAGGACGGGAAGCTGGTGTCGGTCAAGAGGCAGGAGTATCTGCAGGACGAAATCGCCTTCAACAACGAGCTCGAGCTGCTGTGCACGCTGCGCAGCCATCGGTTCGTGAATTTGCTGGGATTCTGCAAGGGCCCCGACGCGCACGAGAAGCTGCTGGTGGTGGAGCACATGGCGCACGGATCGCTGCACGACGTGCTGCACCACGGGCCCGAGCCTCTGAGCTGGGCCATGCGCGTGAGCATGGCGCTGCAGGTGGCCAAGGCGCTGCTGGCGCTGCACTCGGCCAGCCCCGCCGTAATTCACCGCGACGTCAAGAGCGCCAACGTCATGATCGACGGCAAGTGGAACGCGAAGCTGGGCGGCTTCGGGCTCGCATTCCGGGGCAATGTGGACGACCCGACGCGCGGCGCGGCGCGGCCAATGCAGCCCGTGCGCGCCGTGGGGTACATCGAGACGGAGGCCGACGCGCCGTCGCGCCTCAGTACCAAGGTGGACGTGTTCGGGTTCGGCGTGCTGCTGCTCGAGCTGCTGAGCGGGCGTCGCGCCATCGACGTGCGTCACAAGCCCCCGAGCATCATCGACTGGGCGCTGCCGCTCATCAAGCAGGGCAAGGCGCACTGCGTCTACGACTGCCGCCTGCCCTTCCAGCCGCAGTTCGCCAAGGCGCTGCGCCTCCTGGCCGCCATCGCCGCCCGCTGCGTCCGGCGCACCAGCCTGCGCCGTCCGTCCATGCTCCACGTCGTGGCCGGCCTGCTCGAGGTCAGCAAGCGCATCCCCGTGCCGCGGTGGCTGGGGCTGGCCAACGCCGTCAAGCGCACCGCCGCCTGGCAGCTCCGGCACGGGCGCCATGTCAACCGCAGCCCCGAGTTCCGCGAGCTCATCCGCTCCCCCCGCGACCGATCGCAGAGCGCTGCGAATTACGCCGGCGACGAGTCGCAATTCGGCTCCAGGAGCTCAAGGCACGGCGCGGTCAAGCTGAGCTTCGGGCAAGGGGCGGTCGCGACCGCTCGCGTCGCGTCCATGGACCGAGCCAAGCCCGCCAAGCTGCCGGTCGTCGTCGACACCCCCCGGGAGACCGCGCGAGCGAGCTCCGCGGACCGCCTCAGCAGCAAGAGCAAGAGCTTCGTCGCGGATTCGGGCGAGATGGCGCGCGCCAGGTCCATGGACCGGCTCAAAGATCGCATTCTTGAGCACATCCGAGGTGCGTCGCAGGGGAAGGAGCCGGACGTGAGCAAGGAGCTGCCGCGGGAGGTGCTGGATCTGTCGCAGGGCGGGCGCAAGCGGACGTACAATCAGTGGAGGAACCCGGTGTTCGACGCCCGGCGGTCCCCTGAGAGGGTCTTCTACCCCACGGATTTGTCGCTGCGAACCACGCAGCGTCCCGCTGCGCCGGACGGCGCCATTCCTCTGATCACGGCCGAGGAGGCGCGCGCCGCTCGCGTGGACCCGTCGGCGTGCATGCCCCACCAAGCGCTCAGGGTCACGACCAAAATCCGGTCGCGATCCGTCAAAACGTCGACGCGCAAGTCGCACCTGCGAGCGCGCGCCAGCTTCGAGAGAGAGGAGGCTCTTCTTCCGTGGTAGACTTCTGCCCCTCCTCCCCTGCCTCTGCCGAATCCCGTTTCTCGAGCATCTGTCCTCGTCGTCCACTCTCGATCGAGCTCGAGCAAGCGCTCGATTCTGTATCGAATGGGATTGGAGGAAACCTTTGGCTGAAGCAGCACATCGTTCGAGAAAATTCCGGATGAAGGTGCTCTCTACTGCTCGACTGATCCTCAGAGTCAGGAGGCGAGGGAGGCGAGGCAGGCAAGGAAGGCAGAACGAGTACATATTACTCTGTATTATTAAGATTACGGTAACCGTAGGTCATACGTAGTTTGTACAATACTTGAGCATGTATAGTCCATTTTTCCCCTCAGCTCAGCCCATTCATCGCTGGGGATGCGATTGAATCGGGAACGAAAGCAGAGTGATGAAACCGGATCGTCGTTCCAGCGGAGGAAGCTGTCAACGTGAGACATTAATTGGAGTAGGTGTAGAAGTAGCAAGTACTGTAGCCTCTTTCATGCAGAGGATTAGACGGGCTACGAAGAGAAGAGAAGAGAAGAGAATAGAACAGAACAGAACAGAAGGGTCGATTTCGTAAGGTCTAAATTGAAGCCATCGAGATCCAGCGTGCTATATCGCAACAGGTTAGTCGCTCGACTTTAGAGTCGCAAAATAATTCCGAATCCTCTACTGTATCAACCACTTTTCTCTTTCCAGTTACATAACCTATCCGGGTGGAAGTCGAGACTTTTCACCATCGGGGCAAGAGCACGTTCTTCTTCTCAGCAGCTGAATCGAATGAAAAGCGTCTGCGGGCGATGATTGATGTCTTGGACTGTAAAAGTCGGTCGTTGATCCTCTGATCTCTTCGAGCGGAGTTCCACTGTCAGCCAGTCAGTCAGGTCCGTCTACGAGTCCACACCAGCCAACAACCGACGAGTCCCATCGTGCCTCCCTTCGTACGGTGCGGACTCCAGCATGCTCGTGAAGTCGGTAGGGTCCATCTCGATGTCCACTCACGCTGTCGCTCTCGAAGTCAATCCCGTGCAGGGCAGTTCGCATGGCAATCTCTCTTTCGTGCCGAGACGTAGCTCGCAGTCATATTCACAACGATACTACCGATCGTGACACCTACGTCCATGTAGCGCTTTTGTCACTCCACATACGACGCTAGTGGCACCATCAGCTACCAGGACATGGGCTTGTTCGTATTCTAGCTTGTGGTCTAGCAGTACTGGGCGAAGCATCAATTTGTGGGCTTGCGTTCAGTAGTTATGGTGTTTCCTGTGGTCAATCAAGTCCACGAGATTCAAGTCCGGATGTTATGATGATTGCACGAGTGCCCTTCGTACCCGGCAGCATCAGTTCATGTGCAGACCGTGTACGAATTGCGCCCTGGAACCTCGACACTCCGTTTCGCTTATTACAGATCTGAGCCTGGAGCTCTTGAATCTGGACTCTAACTCCGGAGACACGAACTCGCAATTCTTCACTGTCACCTTCTACTTGGCGGTGCCTGATCACTTACTTACCTCTGGGTTTTGGTGCTCCCATCGCCAACAATCTTCGCTCACTCCAGAGTCCAGTTTCTTGTAACGAATCAACCAGAGCTTCCGATGTGAAGGCCAATTCCATCAATGGGAGGTACACTTCTCAGTTCTCGGTTGTGGTGTTCCTCCCAAAGTAGACTTTCGGGGCTCGAGGGACTTCTTCTCACCTGTGATGTCTGCAGTCTGTCCGTCTGTGACGCTGAGTGCTTGACTCGAACCGACGCGAAGTATTGGACGAAGTCTTTGCATTTGAAGTTTCATTTGATCGGTAGCCGATCATGTTACTCTTTGAGTCCGACGAAGATACTTCGAAGTGATGGAATCGTGAGTTCTGTATCGGTGTAGATTCTGCCAAGGACTGGAGAAGCGTCTGCGTTGCCAGAATCCCTCTCTGGGCTATTGAGCTCGGTAGAATGATCGGATGGTGGTGATGAAGATCGATGCTGAATGTTCGAGGGAAAGCAGGAGAATCACACTTTCTTTCTTCTCTGGCCGCTCCGTCACAGATGTATATTTGAGTAAATTAATATGGCGAATATCATGCTCATTCGCTCGTGGTTGAGAAGCGCTGTTCGCAAAGTGCTGTCGTGGGGCTCTTTCGGCTGAGGTCAATGAATAAGCCAAATTGTTGCTTGAAGCGAGAGTTGAGAACTTGATGTGCCAATCACATCCGAAGTGTCGCTATTAGCAATCACAGTGATGATGCGTTTGTTGGTGATAACGTGCTTTGTAGCACCGATACTCGCAGCGCAGAATTTTGATGGATATTGCTGGACCGATACTGTAATGCCAATTCAAGACGATGGAAATCTGCTGCGCTGGACACAAGAACATGCCATAGATTGAGAGCAAAGTTAATGGTTTCTTGAGAACTACAGTAGTTGAAAACTAATACAAAGCGATGGAGTGCCTTGAACTGGGACACTTCAGTGATCTTCTGCTGCAGCACTGCCGTCTTTCTCGGTTCATCGAATAGTCCTAATCTATCAACTTGTGTGTTCAGGGAAACTGCATGGTCTTCAACACCATCTACAGTCGTGCCGATGGAACTACCTGGCATCACTTAGAGAGATTCTTTCGTTGAATCTTGCACTTGCGAGAGAGGTTTTGGGTTGTCTACGTCCTGGTTTTGTGCAGTTGCTCGCTTCTTATGTTGATAGAGGATTAGTACCAGCATTCCGATGGCACCATGGTTGGCGAAACAGCCTGCTTATAAACTTTTTCTCGCTTCTCTGTTCAGAAATTTATTGCAAAGTTTGGATGGTTTCGATCTGAGGGAATATTGGTCATTGTTACACCATTGGCCCGAGGCCCTGGTTACCGTTTGGCTCTGCCGTCCTTTTCGTTATCAAGTCGGCCCTGAGCATTGGAACATGGGCAAGCGACATTGACATTGACGAGCGATGGAACGGCATGCACGAGCAGCACTTGGCAGCATGGGCTTCGACGAGGCACGTACAGCACCAGACCAAATCAAGCAGCCCTGGATTTGCAACGGTCTCGGGGAAAGGCCGTCCTAGCTTGGACTAGACATACGAGCCACGTGCTTGCCCAGGAAAGCTCCCAGAAGCACCCTCGAGTTTCATTCTACCGAGTGCTATACATGTATACAACTTTCCCGACCTACTGTCCACATTACAAGGAAGCAGTAGCAGCATGGGACAACATGTCGATCTTTGCTGCCAAGAGATGCCAGCCCGCTCTTTAATTATGAGGCCATTTTAGGCGTTCTGAGACTCACTTAAACATTCATTTGAGGCATGTGCTGCGGTTTCTGACTACTGCTCCAATTTGATAATGAACCGAATTCATGATTATGCTTTGATATCTAGTGTAGCAAAACTTGAAAAACGAGAACGAAATATATTTGTCGTAGATATTCTTATCTCGCATGTATTGAGCAGGAGGTAAATTGATATCGTCTGATACAAAGTCTTATGAACAACCAATTCAGTATTTTGTCTGTTTTATTTTCATAACATAGCAACTTACATGTCAGCATTTACATCTTATACGTATTCATGTTTAATATATTTGAAACATAGCACGCCCAGGTGGATGAGTTAATTTCTTCACATATTTCTTTTCTCGAAAAGAATTTTTTTCTTATGTTTATATTCATGTCTCTCTTAACTGATCAAATACTTAATATGCATTGAACCTTTAGAAAGATATATTATTTGTTAATTTCATAAGGACTCATAAAAGTGTGGTGGTCATCCCATCACTTTCTTTATCCATGTCGCACCTCATTATCATTCTTTAAACTTTGCAATGTTAAAAAAAGGAAAAATACAAAATTTTTACATTGATACTTGAGCTCAAATGTAAATCAAAGTTGATGGGCATTTGAATTCCTGTAAGGAAAAAAAATACCTTATAAATATCTTTAAATATATTGGAATGCCTCCATGATCTTTAATAGCTTGCATTACTTGAGGTCGCAGGACAATCATCTTGTGACCTGGGATTGTGTTTCAATCGATGGATGAAATTTGTGTATTAAATTCTTTGGAGTAAGTTTACTTAACTCTAGTGTGAAACGAGTAAATAAGACCAGGTCACGCTGTCGAAGGATTGCCCTGGAGAAGTACAATGGGGATCGTCCCTTTGGGCCAGATGAGTCCTTTCGTTCCACAGAATTCCATTATGGAAGGAAACCATGCTGACCTCGAGTCGAAAACCGCCGGAATATCTCTCGGCATGACAGACAGCAACAGGGCTCTCTTCGATTAAGAGCAGCCACACATTGGACTGGTCTAGTGTCTGGGCAGGAGCAGCAGCAGAAATGGGAATCGTCACGTGGGAGTTCAGGATAGCGGCGGCGTGTGCCCGTGGGTCCCGTCGTCATCTCCTCAGTCCCTCGTGCAGCGAAGTCGTCGTCTTCAGCAAAACCAGATTCAGTTGCCCAAGAAGGCAAATTGCTATGGAGTCTATCTAGTGGACGTTTACATCCATTGAGATCTCGAGACCTCGGTTTCTCTGCAGATCGGCCGAGCACTATTAGACCTGTGGACGTCAACATTCTGCACTTTCTCCATCTGCTCTGGCGAGGATCAAGGTGTGGTCAAAGTGGCAAAGCTTTTATGAGCCTGAGAAAGTCCTCAGATCGAAACTTGGACTTTTTTCTGACTGACCGTCTTGAAGGATGCTTTCGGAGCTAAGACCCACCACTGAAGATTCATATCCAGGTGAACACTCCAGCCGTAATTATTATTCAGTCGACCACGATGAGATGGTGACATCGAGTAAATCGGATGCGAAAGTATTTCAAATGATAGATTCATCGAAAATTATTTAAATAACAAAACCTTTTTACTGCCAGATTCGAAATGTTTGATGAAAGGTAGAACAGCAACCAATGCAAGGCTTTCTCTACACAAGGCAAAAATATGTTCTGAACATATTCATCAAACATGCAATATCCATAAAAATATTAGATTTGACACCACTCCATAAATACTTAACATTGTGAGAGCATTTTGATCTACTAAGTTTACAATTTCTGGTCTGACATGGGAAGAACGAACACCTGCTTCAAATTGAGATATATCATCTTATGGATCCGAAGAATTGTTGTCTACCACAACTTTGCAACGCTTAACATTTTCCAACCCCTTGCCAATTGTCTGCATTACTGCATGCAACTTCTCAGTGTCATGAAGGCGTGAAATCTCTTCTTCTTTTTCTCAAAAAGTGCTTATGAAAAGTTTCCATACATTTATGAGCCTTGTATTGAGTTGCGTTCTCTACGTAGATAATGATGCAAATCTACTACACTTGTTTTAGAACCTGATGTCCATGTGCATCCCGCAACTGATACATAGTACTCAATTACAATTCACTCGGTCATATTTATTTTCTCTCAGCTCTTATTTATACTCCGAAAAAAAACGAAGGCCACCCTTTACTTTAAATTATCATGAACTTCAAATTCTCAGAGTACAGTATCAAAGACTTCATAAGATTGACAATCATTTGCTTCCACCATCATATCAACCCACAATGTTACTCCTCACCACGGAAGGAACCATCACGCCTGTGACAGCGACAGGTATTTGATTAAAAGACAAGATCATATAGGACTACAGAGGAAACAGGATATGGCAAGCCAAAACAGAAGCCAATGACGTTCAAGGTCACAACCCCGCATAGGAAAAAGTATACGTGAAGGGAGGGGACATTTTTGCAAAGCCTTGAACCAATCGAGCAATGAGAGAGTAGATCTTTGTCTAAAAAACACTTCCGTTTGGCACATGTGTGTACGAGGATTCCTATCCGCATAGGTCATGTGAAATTGTATATTTTTCCACAGGAAGCCCTAGTTGAGACTTGAGCTCCGGTTCCGGGAACCGTATCTCATGAACCTAACTGCTAGGTCGGAATGAACAGCTAGATACACGGAAATTTTAAGATGTCCGACAGTTAGTTTTTGCGTCGAAGGCATTAGAAAGTTTTTTACGCGCAGCCTTAGCAGCCAAAGGGCCAGATCAGATGGTTGATATTGTAGGGTTTCCGGTCTGTCGGTTCGAGGAGGCGTAACAAGAGAAAGATGTCATGGGCACTGTCGTCATACTGGGAGACTGTCAGTGCTCACCTTTCAGAATTCAAGTGCACACCTCTGAATGCGGCTTTAAATGCATCTCGTCACGGTGTTGTCAGTTGGCTTCAGGAGTGTGCGGCGTACTTTACGAACCAGTGGTTACGATCTTTTCCATGCTAGTGATCTTTAGAGGAGATGTGAGTAAATACTGTGTACTGAGCGGTTGAAAAGAACTGCTTCTTTCTCTATATAGATTAGAACGAACATTTCAGGTGTAAGAACAGAACATAATGATTCGCAAAGACGTATGAACATATGTACTTGTGTGGAGCCAGCTCTTCAAAACTGGGGGCACAGGCTACGTCAAGAATTGATTCGAGAACAATAATTGTCGCCGTCTAACCGATAGACAGGAAGTGACAATGTTGTTTAGAAACCGATGTGCTAATACGAACGGAACGGTCTAACTCATCTGCAAACAATTAACAAGGATAAAGTTGGCGAGACAACAATTCCTGGCATGGCATGGCATCATGCGTGGTCCAGGATCTACTGGTCAAATTTGAGCTTTCAGTAGGTTCCCGGCGCCAACTACGGTACGCATACGCAAAGCTGACTGGACGACGCGACTGAGCGTCATGAACATTACATCGACAGAAATCGAGCGGCCAATATTTACAGGCTCAGAAAAAATGATAAGGATTTTAAAGACGAGCTCACTTTCTAGAGCATGAAGGTGGCACAGTAGATTTCAGTTTCAGGCTGAAGAATTCAAGCCTAAGAGTCTCCTGAACAGGACAACGTTGGCGTTCAAGCCCGAGATTTCTATCCTCCAATAATCACGACGCCAGAACAGAGACAGAAAACACGTCATCAATGGAACTGAATCAGAACAACAAATTTGATTCTCCAAAAGACCAGTGCTACATCAAGTCCTTGCCGATTTCAGCAAAGCTTCTCTCGCTGTCAGAGAAGAGTCCCTCGATGGAAGATGGAAAACGGCAGCCTCGGTATTTCCTGCAGGCCTCATTCTCACGTCCCAGAACCCTGACCCCGTAGGGTAATTTCCTAAATGTGACGAGGAAACAAATATAGGTATCCAGAATGTTCTGGACAAGGATAATGATCCATCAAACGAGCTCTCTATATCTGCAGAAACAATTCATCACTCTACCTACAAAAGCTCTACTATCATAAAAGAGAAAAGAATCCTTCTTCATAAATAGAGAAAAAAAATACTGCTTGTAAAGTGTGCAGAATGTCTACTACATTTACAACTGAAGAAAAAGGATCTTGATCAACATTGCTAGTTGAAATTCTCTCAAGACCTCCGCCGCTGTGTAGCCATTGGCGGCCACATTGGACACAAATCTGATCACATTCCTAAAAGCTCAATGATTTGATCTAAAAATAATCTTTTCCATCTAAAAGGATACCGTACTAAAGTCCTCGCGTCATATAGACATGGAGCTAATACTCAAGTTCTCCTGAAGGAGACATTACCGTTGATGATGTCGAAACGTTCGGACAGGACAGAAAAGAATGGTGCGATAAGTCGCACAATGCAGAGGACTAGTGTAACTCTGAATTTGTTCTAAAGACATGGACATACCATGGACAGAATTAGAGAAAAATGACATTGCAGCCGCAAAGAGGCCGCTTTCTGACGCACCAGGTAACGCTTCACTCATTCTTAAGATTGAATCATTTTGGCCATCCATTATACAGGAAGGTGAAGTGTTAGGTGACAAGCACTAGGCTTTCCAGAAGGTCTTCTGACAAACAAGGAGCCGCTGCTCGGTATCACCCGGAACCTCAATCATCCGGGACTCCCATCGCATCTGAGTTGCCACTGCTCGAGCATCTTCGATTGACTCGACATCGTCTCGCAGAATAACCCAACCCTGACCAAGACGACACACACCACATACAAACAGCAGACTCATTAGGTACATTTAAACGAAGAATTGTAGAAAAATAAAATCGTAATTACCAATTACCGTAAACTTTGGCAGTCCACCACATCAACCATGATCATGCAAGTCACGATCCAATAAGCGTTGGAAGTGGCGTGATATGCTTACGTCATATATACAAAGAAAAACAACTTTTGAATGAAAGCGCACGTGAAAATTCAATATACGATAGAAGAAATCATGAGCACGTCGATTAATCTCATAAATCAAACAAGTGGCAGTAAAGATATCAAGTATTCTGATCAATTTCTGCAACTTTGAGGGCAATGATCACGCCGAACTACTCGTTCAAATAAACATGAGTGGTGAAAGGTGGTACCTCCGGCCGAAGAATCCGATCCATTTCTGAAAATAGGTTGGATAGGCCACATGGATGTGGACGGTTCAGCTCTTGAGAAAGGAGATCAGCTGCGTGCAACAAGTCGTACGTCCGTGGATAGGTTGGAAAAGCCTCACACCTGAAATTTCAGTGAAGTAACGGCGCACTTTCAGCGAAGAATTGCAGCTACAAAGAAGTACCTCACGCTTGTACCCTAAATGCCTTGAAAATGTTTAACACGACAGCTAGATAAACAGGAAGCAGAGCCTAGTTGGATATCCAGCCAACAATGTCACATCGTTTCCACGTGACGGGTTCACTCACCAATCATGATTGGTTCCAAAAAGTCCACGGTCAAATATGTAGGGGAGAGTATTTGGTGCACTGGTTGGTACGACATTCATGACCCAAACGGCTTTTCCAGTCTCCAGAAGGGCGGCATTGAGGGCTCCAATGCCAGCATTAAGGTCCATCACGTTTCTAACAACGCTAGCCGCAGGTAAGACATCCTCATCACCAAGTCTTTTCGGATGGTCTGAAAATATGATTGGAGTCAACAGAGACCAATACTCCGCTACAGCAGCGGTCCAAGTCCGTGGTTCTCCTGTAACCTCATCCCTTCCAGGCCCTAAAACAACCAAGACCACGAACGATCGTGAATAGGGCACCAAATGATGGCACATGGTAGAGCACGACCTGAAGTTCATGCGAGATGCAAAAATTGAATATCAGTACTCAAACATAAAGAAGAAGAAAAAAAACAGGCGACATGATAAAGCCTGACACGAAACCTTTGAAAGAGGTAGTCTCGAACCTGTTCTGGCAGCATCAGAGGTAGCGGCGGCTATGTGCATGCGCGCGGGCCACGCGAACTGATTTTGAACTGAAACTCGACGGACGGGCGGCGACAATGTGATGCATGACCTTAACGGCTGATGCCAAGACCAATCGGCCTCGTATCTACCTTGTTCGCAGAGATTTGGTGCCACACCTTGGACCCTGCAATCATCCTTCGCAAAATTAGTTGCCATTATGTGATCTATCATGGGTCTGTATGGGCGCTCTTTCTCTGTCGAAACTAAGAGCTACTTGTAAACAGCCTCAAATCTAAGAAATCGCTCTTACGCCTCCCGAAAAATAGAATCCCGACTACCACTGCACAAGTTACAGGGCTTCACACAATAATGAACTGCGAATGGTAGACATTGCCTTCATAACATCCGACTATCACCGAGTGAAGCAACCACTTTACCCCCAAGGGTCTAAACGAGAGGACCAACACAAGTGAAATAGACACAAGTGAAAAAAAAACTCTACGGTATGAATCCCTGTTGACAAGGTGCAATGCAATACAATTTATGCAAACTCCTCTTCTAAGAAAGTGCACACTTACAGAGATCCAAAACAAGAAGGCTTCTTCTTCCATATCACTATTTGCTCGCTTTCGGATGGTGAAACGATCTCCCAACAAAGACTTGCTGTCACATTTTGCATCTTCTTCCAAGCATAGCCGTCTCCAAATTCCTCCGATGTATCAGTGGATGGCTTGGCCCAAACGAAATATCCTCCAGGTCTCAATAATCTGTCAATCTCGATGATTGGTTTGCCACCTGATCGCAACATCCAGAGAGATGTTATGAAACGTAGTTTGCCACGCATATCCCTAATCGTTTGGATTCAAGTTGAAAGCCCACAGAAAAGCAGACTCCGCCTTCCGAGGTATATGAATGTTCCAAAAAGATTTCAAATTTCAACGGAAGTTAATATCTAGAGGTAAAGCTTTGCGCGTATATTTTTGACAGTTACACATGTCTGCGTCTCACCATTCACATGAAAATCGATTCCGCAGTTGGCACAGTGGATCAAGTCGTATGAGGAGCTTGGGTAAGGTAGCTGCGTTACGGCGAATGAACCGATCATGGCTGGAAGGCCCCGTTCCAAAGCTAACTGCACCTGTCCTCCATGCTCTTCGTATGGAGCTAGGCAGATTGTCACCAAATCGTGGGACCAAAGAAAGGCCCCTAGACTTGAAGAGCCACAACCAATATCTAGCACATTTCGGATCTGCGTCACACATGTTTTCAATACTCTCAGAAAACCTCCGGGGTAACATAGACCACCAAATATATGATACAGCGAGAATCACTATGGACGCAGTATACAACTATCCGTTTCCACCAGTGAAGAAACTGCAACAGTCACCAAGACCAGCGATGAGATGTTTCATCATATGGAAATTGTAGCCAGATTCAAAACAGGGCACGATAAAAAATTAAACTGCCAAAGAGAATCGGGCCTTTTGTAGTCCCAAAGCCCTCGTGTAAAGCTTCAATTTGAATGCAACCTCTATCAAACACACCTTAGCTTTCCCCAGGTCTCGGTAGGTTTCAAGATCCAGTCTTGATGCGACTCGCTCCGAGTATCTTTCGATGTCGTCCATCAACTTCGAGTCTTTGCTGGGAAACTTCAGCCGATTTTCTTCGACTAAGAACCTGTGCTCAGACCGAACGAGTACTCAGAGACATGCTCTGAATGTTTTCAACGGTTCAAATACGAGAATAATGCCGAGCAATTGAACAAACTTCAAGGAGATTAATTAAGACTCTACTACATCGTTCTAAAAAATCTAACGGCCAAAATACAAATGCTGTTGATATTTATTATCCCATTGAAATTTATAGTGAGAATGGCCTGCAGTTTTCACGGTCTATATCTCGGTGAAACTGATTCGGCAACTGTACTAAGAAGATGTGAGAATTTCGCACACGGATTAGAACATCTCTTTATTCCAACGCTCACATGAAGCTCCTTTCATTCCTATCCAACGCTAGGACAAGATCAGACGACGTTGCCTTTCCTAAAATCTGAAACGAAGCATACCTCTTCTCGTCCGCTCCAGTATTGATTTGCAAATTTCCACGCCAAATTCCATCCTTACAGTCTGGCCATTTCAGCTGAATCCTGTACTCCTTTGGAGGAGGAATCAAGCACTGCTTCTTTTCTGATACTTCACAGTGCCGCTCGAATTCCATGCCATCACTGTAGCCTGCTTCTAAATTGGCCGTCAAATTGTGGCATGGAACATAGTCTTCCATACCGGAAGGACATGGCCCTACTTCCTTGGGTTTTATAACCCCGAGACCTAAAATTCCTCCATAATAGAGGTTTTTCCATGCCCGAAGTTGCGCCCGTCGATAATTGTGAGCGGGGAACACGACTCTGGGATAGGGCCTCGTAGTCCCTGCGATTGTGACCAGCACAAAAGCGCCAATAACGCACAAGAGGAAAAATGGGAGGAAGGATGGTGCAAAGGTCTTCTTGTTACAACTGAAGGAAGAACAAAACCTTGAGCCGAACGAAAAAATCCGAGGAGACCCTGATGAACCTCCCGAGGCAATGTTGCTCACAGAACCTGTACTCCCACTTTCGAGAGACTTCCCCGACCTTGAGCCACTTTCAGATGATTTGATCCCATATTTCTGTGAACCTTGAGAAAAAGCGTAGTCCTGGCAAACTTGTTTGATCCATAGCCGAACAGAGTGTGGAAAGCAAGCGGTGAGGTGGTCCCAGGTGGACCGACTTCGGGCTCTTTCAGTTGCTTCTGCTTCTCTAGCTTTTGTCGGTGATCCTTCTTCGTGAACTCTTATCCTTTCCGGGGTAGATAGACCCCTGTATTGCGCTTTTGACATCTTTTCATTCAGCCCTGGCGCAGCTCGCTCACCTGAGGAAAGTATAGAGTGATGAGTGACAGATCCCGCAGATATCGGACCTCCAGCGCTGATCTAGTACACTGCCACCTGATACTTCATCTGCCCAAGGAATCTGAAGGGCCTCAAGTAGTTTTGCAGCTATCTCGATGGTATTCCCTCATGTAGGAGGAAGACCGTCACCCCTCATCATCTTCTAAAACTCAATTCTCTCTTGCAGAAGTAAGAATGACCATTATCGTCACGTGACGAGTTCTGACTGAAACCACAGCGCACATTCTTCTCTACCATCCACAGCTTCATATTCTCACATGAATTTCATGAACATTTCTAAAACTTAGAATCCAAGCATGTCTGCTCAAAGTCTAGCAGGCGATGGCAAAGGGGCTACACTATCTGAGCATTGATACAGCAAATCAATGGAGCGATGTGTAAATCCTCGTTCTGAAGCAATCCCATATCACTATTCATCTTCGACAGTAGAATCGTCATTGCTACTAGGAGATCCAGCACCGGATAGCGCTTTTCGGCATGCGCAAAACGTGGTGCTACTCGTTGAGGAACAAACCCAAATGGTACATTGCAAATCCACGGCTAAACAAAAACATCAATCCACATCCGACAGCGGGGACCACCACAACGATACCCAAGCAACAAGCACACCATTCTCTGACCGCTGACTGAAAGCCCAAACGGACACGTAACGAATTCGAAGCAAAACCAACACACACACGAACAAAATGCACAATCGCGGCACGAGCTCCGCCGCGGAGAGCACGGGGGAGGGGCAGGTCAGCGCACCTATGAGCGGAAGAACAAGGACAAGCTCATTCACGTCCCTGCTCTTCTCGAGCTCAAGACGGAGCCCAGCTGCACTCGAAATCGAGTCACCATGGCAGTCGAGTCACAACCACAAGACTCCGCACAGATTCCTCGGTCCCTCTCCCAATCTCCTCTCTCCCTCTCTCCCTCTAACCCAAAAAAGCTCCGAGAGCCCCGCTCCCTCCTTCGCTCCGCCCTCGCGCCCTCTTCCGATCACTCTACACGCACGGGCCATCCCGCCCCGGCGTTTGCAGGCGGTACGAGGCCATCGAGCTCCCGCGGGAGAAGGAGGCCATCGCCATTGTTCCCCACTGCTTCTGCTTCCCTCGCCTTGCCTCGGCTGTCAGTGCTCTCTCTCTCTCTCTCTCCCTCTCTCGCTCGAAGCTTGGCTCGTAGCTCAGGACGAGGAGGAGCTGGCGAGCTCGACGAGGTCGAGGCCGAGGCCCACGGCAATCAGCGAGAGGGCGCGCGAGGGAGAGAAGCAGAAATGGCTGCCATCATTAGCGCGGGTCCCACCGCCAAAGCCGGCCGGGCCTGGCCTGGCCAACCCTAATGCCCCGCCGATCACCGGTCGCCGCCCCTTTTCCACCGGCAGCGTCGCGAAGCCTTGGCATCGCCCGCCTTCGCCACCTGCTTGTTACCTGGGACTGCCCGCGAACCCGCGATGGACTGACCCGCGAGTCGCTTTTTGCCCCCTCGCTCTACGACTGGGCCTCTACCGAACCGAACCCAGCCTCCCTCTGTACACGTTATGGGTTCGGGTCTGAGGCCTCTCTTGCTGATAAGCAGCAGCAGCAGTGTCTGCTCTCTGCTCTAATGGAGGCTGCTGGCAATTTGGGCATGTGAACTCTTCTCATCGATTCTCGGATGAGGGAGGGCTTTATGGTGGCCTTATCTTTGCACATGCCGGCAAGATAAGACGGTCGCGAATCTATCTACGACAACAGATGTTTTTGCTTCATTCAAATGAATTGAATCTCTCTCTCTCCCTCTCTCTCTCTCTGCTCGTAACATCATGGAGTGAAATGCCAGTCCTTTGGACTGACTTTCTTCCCTTCCTTCCCTTTCGGATGGCCCACTTGATGTAGCCCTTCGGATTTGATTCTCTCGAGCTCTTTCTAATTGGGTTTCTAATTGGGCCCATTCTAATGCGTTTCCATCCTCCTCAACAGGACGATGGCACAAGCGTTAGGGAGACATGCGGGACATCGCGTGCCCAAATATATGCAACTACAGTCATTAGAAGAATGTCAATGTGGAAGAAGCCTCGAAGGAGACTGAAGCTACACTCTAACGAGGGAGTCGGAGGAAATAAATAACAATCATAATGATGATAATGAAGCCGAAGAACGATGGAGCACCGCAGAGTGGGCAGAACAATATTATCCTATGATAAAGGAAACTTGGAAGTAAAACATGAACCAAACATGAAATAAATTTGTTCAAGGTACAAGTTTTTTCCATTCGTAGAAGATTATTTATTCAAGAAATACAAAGAATACAATTTTGGGATTATTTAATCAAGAAATTTAAAAAAACGCAATTTTGGGATTTATAATTGTTTTCATAATCATCTGTTGCAGGGAAATATAAAAAGGAGTGATGCAATGAAAAATGGAAATGAAAACGCAATGAGCGAGCAGAGGAACAGAGCTGAGGAGAGAGAGAGAGAGAGGAGGGGATCGGAGGCACGAACCCGTGTTACGGTGAGGCGGGAGGCAGGCAGCGCTGCGAATCAGTACCTCGAAGTACGACCGCAGCGCGCGGGCCTCAGGGGGATGGTCAAAGCCGTTGAACATCATGAATGCGCACCAGGCAATGGCAGCAGAGGCCGGGGAAAGAGGGCGCTGGCGATCTCAACAGCGACAGCTAGATTTAGATTTCACTCGCGCACTGTTTTATCTGCTACTGTCCTGCTCTCGCGCTTTGCTGGTGGGTGCTGCGCACCGCAGGCCCCAGCATGTGATCTGATCGATCCCGTGCCACTGCGCTATTATAAGCCGGGGTTGACTTGCCTGCGCTCGACTCGCCCGATCGGCCACCGGCGCCTGTCAAGTTCCCTCCCAGGGGTACCTTAAACCTCGACCTTCTTCTGTCGAGATTTAAGCAGCCTTTTCAATATGCTCGAGTGCACTAGTCGTAAAAAAGTATGTCTGTACGTGAATGAATGAATGAGTAAGTGAGTGTAAGTGTGTGTGGTGTGATCAGAAAGCCATGAACAGAAATTTATGACGCTGAAAACATCGAGCGAGGAAAAGAAAGGAGAGAAATCGAAGGGTCGAAGTGGTAGATATGGAGGACGAGTTCGAGGGACGCTGAAGTTGCTCCGTTGAGCTCGAGAGCTGTTGACGAGCTGGTTAAGGTTCCGACGTGATCGTGACCGTGGCCACCGTGCATGAATTCGAGTTCCAGGAGTCGTTGGGATTGAATTTGTAACCGTATTTTGATAGCCGACGTACATCGTATTGATTCTACTCCTTGCTCCTCCGCCATTCTCGTGACGATGAGTGATACCATATGTGGCTATGACACATGTAAAACCTAATAACACCATTAGATAAGCGACATATCTTGATAAAACTATCAAGTATAAATCTTATATATCTTGATCAATTAGTATGAATGCATGGTATTTAAATTCTAAATCAGGTAGAACATGATATCTTTGCAACTACTGATATTTCTTTCCAGAATTTTTTATAATGTCATGTGATAATTAATGCTCATTCTCAAGAGCATTCAAAATATCGAATTTAGAAGTATGTGTGGCAAACCTTTATCTAACAACATGTACCCTTTCCTTGACTTGAAATTATTTTGTTTGCTTGAAAATTTGATTCAAAACGAATTTTCATGAGAATAATTTTACGATAACATTTATTTCTTGTAGTACAATATTAGCCTATGATTAAAAAAACTTGTAAGTATAACATATGATAAAACCTAATTCAAACATGGAAAAAATGAAAAGAAATTTGTTCATGGTACAAGTTATTTCATACGAAGAAGATTATTACTAAAAGATTTACGTCTTTTATGAATACAAAGAACATATTTATTTTCATAATCTTTTGTAACAGTAACTTATTTTTATCATATTATGTATCTAAAGAAATTTCAACCAAAAGTTTCACTAACTATGATGAGAACATGTTAGCATCTAGTATGAATCTTAAATCGTTCTCTAAAAAACTCAATTCCGAGTATTATTGTGAAAATACCACTAGGTTCGAAATTTTTTTTGATGATAGGGTTTAACTCAACAATATTGTTGAATGTATCAAAACATCATCTCGGATTGTTGATGATAACACCATATCAATCATGTCTCAAAATCCAAGATATCACCAAGATCTCGGTTATCACTGTTTCAAACCAAATCAGAATCTTCCATCAATCTCAATCATTCAAAGTTGATAGTGGACTTTGCTAAGGATGACTCTACTCCTAATTTTGACAGTCTCTTTTTCAATAATCCAAAAAAGTTCACAAGATCATCAGTATATCAGCAGCATGATTGTATGCGTCTCCATCAGTTCCATCAATATGGTGCCTGGCCAAAACCCCAAACATGTTTACAGAAAGCGTCGTCTCTGGCTGCAGATTGTCCTAGGCCTGTGGATAAATCCATAACGACAGTAGGATTGGAATTATCAGCCAGGCAGAGGTTGACGGAATTTCTTTTGCTTGAAGACCCGAAATGACAAGCGTCCGAGATTATTATGCCCAGAACCTTCATAAGCATGAGGATTCGACAGGATAGCAGAACCTTTTCGACCTTGGAACTGGAATGAGCCTGTGGAGAATCTATCATGGACATCAAGTCATGTCGGGACTTTTAATTTCGACTAATGATACACTTTCAATTGATGGTCGTTCAAAATCTCATCGAAGTTGCGAGGAGGACATCATCGGAACAATCATGCAACAAACACTTTCTTGTCCATGCCGCTGCTAGACAGAAAACACGAAGCTTGTGATCGCCGTACGCTAACGATGACTTCACTTGGAACCCGGACCTTGTTCAGCCACTGAAGAAGCTGCTAGTGCCACGCAGTGACCAACTGATATGTTATCAGAACCTATTACAACCCAAGATACATTTGGGTCATATTGATCTGCACTAGAAAGCTTAGCTTGCACAAAGGCTTCGCAAGCATAACAGGTCGAAGGAGATAGTTTCATAAAAGTTTAAGAGATAAATTTTCAAGGAATGCAGATAACAGAGCTGTTATCGAACACCGTCTTCTGACATTTGACATCATGGAGTTGGGAGAGTCTGATCATTCTAGTCATGAAAGAGGTGGGCAACAATACTGTCGATCTTCACGAGTTTTCAACGGCCTCCTCAAGGATTTAACAGTGTCATCAGGACTGTGTTCAGGAGCAACTTATTCAGATTAACATTGGTTTGATTTCAGAAATGATGACTGAAGTGAAATAATACGGAATGGTCTAGCAGTGAGTGACTGATAACGACAAGTCTGCATCAAATATCACTGAATCTACCCTGTGGGTATTATTAAATTTCTCACTCCTTATCGCTCAGATGATTGAGATACAGAATAAAACGATCGGCACAAGCACTCAGATCAACGTATTCTGAGTACGGTTCAATTTTTCACTTTTTTTACCGATAATAATTCGGATTGCTTCTCTCCGAAGTACAAAATCATTATTGCGAAAGAAAAAGCACCTCTTGAAAGTATCCCACAAACCGATCTGAATCAAGGATCGGTGATTTACTGTTTATTCAAGCTCTTTTCTATCTCATCTCTATAGGTGCCTTTATGCAGACAGCCTCCATTTTCAGCCTGCCGCCGCACAGCAGAGTAATCGATCAGCGCATCCACAAGTTTTATATCAAAGCTTCAAGATCTAACTCACTTTGATTCAAACGTATGCGCTCGAAGGCAGAAACTATAGCATTCACGTCAGCCAGGTGCCAATCATGTGGAAAATGACCTGTGCGTTGATCGACGAATACACTCTGCTGTAGAGCTCAGCTACGGTATCGAGATAGTAGTCCGATGGAATTAACAAACCATCAATGTTCCAACTAATGGAGAGACGAAACATGTCGTCAGAGCGATGACTCGACATGTGCAAGCGGTTGTTCCCGGAGTATGGCTATACGTGTTCCTGTAACGATTACGCTGAAACAAGCTGCAAGTTGGTCTATACAGGATTTTTGCTGCAATTCCCAATCGTGTAATCCATGTACTGCTTTGATGATATACACTCAGGTCGGTGTCTGAACACGATCTGAATTCATGAAAAGCTGGAAAGTGCTCCCGGACTAGTGGAAGCTACTGATCAGCTGGCACCAAATCCGCGTTTTTCAAGTTTTAGTGCATACAGGGAGAACTGCGTCTAGTATTTGGTTGCGAGATTAAGGGGCCGCGTTGTCATAGAGATATAATAAAATCTTTCAGTTTTGTTCATGAAACAAAACGGGGGCCACTGACAAATGAATCTATCTATAGGCTACAAAATTCTACTTTTCATCGTGATTTCGATTACAATATCATGGAGCGTGTGTACTGATCACAAAGGGGCCGTTGCGCAGTCCAATTTTCGTGACCGCGTCTAATTTACATCGTATCCCATGTCGATGTATACTCGATGAATGACAACAGAGCACACCGGTGCTCCCCTACAATTGGCAAGAATATACACATCTACCCTCAACTCATGTGGCCCTTTGTATCGAAAGATAAGCTCATAAACTTGCACTTATTGTATCGAGATGAGACCAGAGTAGGTCCTCGCCCTTAGATTCAACAGAATCTTCAGAAATAGCTGTTCTAACTTAAGACATATGGACTGACTCGAGAGAGATACCAAGAGCTACGTACACACTAAAAATTAATTTACAAGCCAAATATCCAGACGATACTCTTGTCCCCGAGTATTTACTTGGTCAAGTCTTGCTGTTCAGAGTGTAAGTCTGTGAGGGTGAAGAAACTACGACAGAGAGTAGATGCAGCAGCTAGTGTGCACGAAGTGAGGACCTTCTTCAGGAACCGACCAGGGTCTCCACCAGGCACCCTGGTCGACACTACTAGTACTCCGTCGGACCGATTACTTATAACTTCATCACAGCAGAAAGCAAGGGTGGCGAAAGCCCCGATCAAACTCTAACATTGCTGGTGACTTCAGAGACTTAATGCACTGCTCAGAATCATGATCATCGACTTTTTTCTTCGAGCAGAACATGGCATCTTAAATTCGGTATGTAAGTGCATGCAGCGAGTATAATGTTGGCCATTCAGAAACTATTGTTTCTGGAAGGTTGTCCAGGACGAGACCATGATGATCGAAAGCATCATACTTCACCTCGTGACTAAAACGGTCGAAGGCTTGGAGCCTGAGTCTACATTTGTTCCGGTTGGGAATCTGGTCGATGTATGGATGCAAAGGATTCCCCCAGTTGTCACTGGAGACATTGGAAAATAAAACCTCCTCTGACTTTCGGATTCTTAGCACTGGAACCTTTCAGACGCAGCGAAGGGGCTTGGAAAACGTAGTTTGAGTGAGTCCCTACGCGTCATCACCACGATTTTTAAGCTGGAATTGATGGGGGTCGTCGCACCACTAGACCCAGGGCACGTTTCTGGGATGAAGATCAGACATTGCTCGAAAGTCTGACCCTCGAGTCTCCCCACGCCATGCACCGTACAAAAGCTGGAGCCGTGAACGTGATACCTGTAACGGGGTTTACATGAAGTCGATCCAGGCCAAGGGAGAGTACGATGGCGGTCCTACTCCGAACGACGGCCAGTCCGACTCTCTTTTGCTCTGCAGATGTAGCTGGAACGACCGATGGGCTAGGGATTCAATTTCTGGCTTCAATCTGGTCAAAACTCTTCTTGCCGCCGAAGACATATTCAAGGTTTCGATTTTCATTTTTGCTCGACTGTGACTGAATCGTCGTTGAGATTGCAGGCGTGGATGATACCAGAAGCCCCGACGGGAACAATATCTTAGTGGAACAAGCTCGACGGGTGGACTAGCAGAGCTGTGCATGGAAGATGGTGGATAGACTGCTGCGGACGAAAGGGAAGGGGATCGAAGTGGAGATGCTGCGGACGACGACGAAGATCTGCTGAGATCACGATTGGGATCTTCCGTGCTATGCAGGACGTGCCGTCCTCCCGGACTCCCCATCCTCGTGTCTTTTTTCACGTGTTCGGTCCGTTTCATGGAGCGGGCGAGAAACAACAATTCAGCACCAACTTTTCAGAAGAGCTGCAATATGGATCCGGTTCATAGTTGCCAATCCTGCCATGTCGGTTTCTTATATTCGTCACGTGATTATTGTGATTTGCCAGTTTGGACGCGATCCAACTTCTACCAGTTCTGCAGCCAGTAGTCTACTCATCAAGCTCTCAAGGGGTCCAGACGTCAGAACTTATGCAATCAGTTGCACTCTACGACGTGGGTGCTGTCGTTCTCACACCGGAATATGATATTGTTGTCGTGAATCCGAAGCGTGTATCGAGTGAAATCTTTGGGACAGTTCTCCAGCAGCGGACAGCAGGGGACATGACTTCTCTGTGCAGGAAGGGACGAGTTATTTTAATCAAGCTGGACTTTTGGTTGCATCTCGTTGGGTCACATTCTCGGTTCATTGCCGGATGATAAGATCGATGGACGTCATCTTAAGTCCAAAGTTCTGAATATTTTGCTTGTGAAGCTATGATTGTATTATAAGCTCAAGCTGGAGAGTCTGAAGGTCGCTTTTCTCTCCCCAATCTTGAAGGGTGATGAAAGAACTAGTACCACAAAAACGATTTTTCTATTTACCCTTCGCATTTTAAAAAACCAGACGATTGCGCAAAGCTCAGAATGCTGCTGACTGCAGCATTTCCTGTTTTCCGAGGACTCAAAAGTTTGTCACGTAAAATTCGCATGATTAGCTCGTGTTGATATTTCTTCTGCGAAATGTGAAATTGACTTGTTAAAGGTGTGATTCATAAATAGTTAAATAGAAGTAAAATTTCATTTGATTCGACTCAAAACTGTTTGATGAATTATATACATGGATGAAGAGGGAAAGTACTGAGCTCGGGTTGGGAATTTCTCGCCTTCTGCGGCTTTGTATCTAACTCAGTCCGTCGGTCGGTCGATGTGGTTGCATAGCGCCTTTTGTTTCATGCGTCCCATAGCAAATGATGAGATGTATATGATGTATATGATGAGATGTATCGTTCCACTTTCTGCATCACTCCAGGACTAGATCACGTAGGACATTCGTGTTGTCCAGAATTTCTTTCGACCCAAACTCATCACGGAACAACAACATCGCACGCAGCCGGGATTACATCCACGTCTACCATAATGGCCACCGGGTGGTTTGCTGGGTGGTGGCTCTGCACATAATGACGAGAACTTCAAATCTTCTCGGACTATCCAAAGTCAAAATGTTCGATGTCATCATGTGCTTCAATAAGCCCGTTATCGTTCTCGGGATGAAAGCGCACAGTCAATCGTTCAACGCGAGCACAGAAGACATGACAAGACTGCGTTGGCTTGGAAAAACTGGAATGTCATGTTGAATTCAACCTTTTTGTGTCGGACGGATTCCGATGACACTCTACTGGATGCCAGAAGAACTGCAGCTCAGAGTCCAACATTTTACTTCAAATCTGCACCCAGACCAGACCATAAACCATCAGCAGCGACCTATGACCACCCATGCTACTCAAATTACGCAAATCTTGGTTGGATCTTGACAAACAGTGCCGTTACCATTACTTGTGCCCACCCATGGAAAAATAATGTCACCCAAAGCCATGAGCATGGGCACCCAATGTTGGGTTCTGCTGCAGCTCGTTGAAAGTTATTCCTGAGTTACTCAATCGTTACTCTGCACCTTCTCCAGTGACAATCTACCTGACCTCTACTCACAACGTGTTCAGCAAATTGTTTATGAGGAGACATTCTGAAGGGAACTTGTCTCCTCTTTAGGATTCTTTCGTACTTATATTTATTTATTTGATTAAAGATAGCATACATTCTCGCCAAAGTTTTGTTTTCAATCAATGACAATTTCAAAATATATCAAATATTTGTATTTGAAAAATATTTTAAAAACATTTCTTCTTAAAAACATATCTAAATTTATTCTTTCTATTTAAGAATAAATCAAAATTATAGTGTTGTATTCTAATTCTAATTTC